AGCTGAAATATTTTGTTGCTCGGCAAAAACCTGGCATATCGCTTGCACTCCTTAATGAGAAACAGACTGCCAGTATCTCATCAGGAACCGGGAACCAGAGCCCATTGAGATGTTATGATATGAATGATAATTCAGCGAGTGTGTTTGCTCGGCTATATGGGCTTTGTGTCAACACTCTGGGTCCAGCCAGGTCTCGCTCGGGACACAGAGAGCAGGATGCATTTTCATAAATCATTTCTTGACACCAAATCAAGGTTATGTGGTTGGCAGACTGTAGCCTGTAAATTGCCTTTGCATTGTCAATGCAAAGGCCCTCCGCTGGGATTTAAGTAGTTCACTAGCTATTTATGGCTGGAAAATTAAGATGACCTTTTCCCAAAATGTGATGATGGTGCTTTCAATACAAACTAATGCACAGAAGAGAAATGCCTTATCATATATGGGAAGTGTAAACCATTCATTTAAAAGCCGCATACACAGAGAATAGCCTGCTTTTGTTACTCATGCATGATGCACTGGCTCTGTACTACCCACAGTGTAGAGGTAATAATTAGCTCACTACAGCAGGGTAACAAGTTTGCACCCCCGTCCTGCTGTGCAGCACTGTAATTGGTCCCCTCATGTGGCACCGTCGGGCCCCAGAACAAAGGGTTCCCAGAGGGGGAATCTATGCTGACCTATGCTGAACCTTCCACAACAATGACAGGCAGGAAGCATTTACATATGCTGACAGACTTGTCTCTTCCTAGGGTGGAGTGCTAGGCACTTCATTAAAGCAACATCAATACCTGCTGATAGAAAACGAGGAGTGGGCCCGTGCGCATCACTGTCTGCTCTGAGACACTATAGTGAAATGACATAGGGCTGTCACATCCAATTTCAAATAAATGGACAGCATTTATTAAACAGAGTGTGTGTGGAAATTGATGGGGGAGAAGCTGTGAGTTGCTGTCAGAGCCGTGCTTGTCTGCATGCATCAGCAATTGGTTTGCCCACAAGCTGTTCACCTGAACGTCAGCTGCCAAAATCTGTCAGCCCCCGGGTGCACCCGAGCAAATTTCCACACTTTCTGAGCATTATTTTTGTTATTTTTGACCTAAAAAAGCAGTTTACGCTCTTTTTCTGCGGCCGTGCTTCTGCGTCGTGTTTCGTCACAGAAGCCTAACGCGCTTTTCAGTGAATGCTGAAGAGAAGCGCGTGCAAAGTCAGATACAGGTGACATATCTGTCGATTCAGCAGCCACGCTGCAAGAGTGCAGGTGGTTCCATCCATTCATTGCATCATGCTGCTGTGAATTCATTCTCTTATCCCGTTAAAGGAAGGGTAAATCCTCCTTCCATTTGACACACTGCTCATTTAGTTGAGAGGCACAGTGGCTGGCTGGAGGGAGGAGAGCCAAGGGGGTGCTGTGGTCGTGGTAGCGGTGGTGTCGAGGAGGAGGGGGACTCTTTGGGAGGTGTCGACCTGAGCAGATGGACTTCTCAGTTGCGTAGTAAGTGGAGTCTTCACACGGCAGAGACTGCAGGATCTCACAGGACCGGGACACAGCATCCAGGTGGCCACAGCCCCTCCTGACCAGCTGGAGGAGCGATGGGACCATCTGACACTCGGAGGAAAATGATACACTTCTCTTTGCTGCTTTGTTTTGTCTTGACACAAAAGCCCAGAGCCAATCAGGGAATTTAGCTAATGAAGCGTAGAGAAAATCCTCTTGATTGCATACAAGCATTCAAGGTCACATTAGCAATGAGAGAACAGCGTTTGCACAGTCTTCAGGTGTACACTTCTACTTTGTAGTCATGCTCAGATTTTTTATTTCAAGACAAAAACAATAAATCTCATGTATTGTTTGACGTGATTAAGATTTCATACAAACCCGTCCTCTAAATCTGCATCAGCAACTGACTGCAGTGATTTCTGCACAGTTTACACGTACTGCAATGTAGATTCAGCAAATCCAAGTGAGAAAGTCCCATCTGTGCTTCTCCTCCACTGATCCTGGGCCCTGGAGGCTATGTAGGGCTAATTGTGGCCCCATTTTCCTTTCCTTATCTTTTTGTTTTTACTCAGTGTCGGGGTCAGGGAAGCTCCCAAGTGACCAGCGGCAGGAGCAACAGCCATCGGCCCCTGCTGAGCATCAGTAATTAGAGCCCTCCTCCACCGCCCTGGCTTTTCCCCCCAGACCCAGGCCAGGGAACCTCTCGCTTTCCTTCTGAAGGGCATGGGGGGCAGAGAGGAGGAACAGCTGCTGATGGGAAACCACTCTGCGGTTCCCATCGATGACCAGCATCCGTCCATACTCCTCAGAGGATTTGCACCAGCATCTTTAGGATAGGAATGATGGGATCATTCTATGTCTGCTTTCTCATGGCTGCTAATCTTGCCTCTAAACACTAGTTGATGTTTATCAATGAAAGGGCATCGCTGTACATGAAAGGCAGCTTTGCACGACTCACACATTCATCATATGTATAATAGCAAGGGGACAATAAAATTTGCTAGACCTCTATTGAAAATATCCTTTGTGATGGTAATATTTTTTCCTTTAATTAAAAATAACAGTGTTGGACTAACCACCTCCCTCAAATTCTCCCCATAACATGCGTAAATTGAGTCCTTGGATCCAGAAGGATATCTGGGCCTGGATTAGTGGATTAGTGATATTTTTAAAGACATTGCCGAATTCCTCTCATTTTAGTTTGGTATATTTGTGAGATGGTGCAAAATGACAAATTTTGCCCTATATCACAATGATTTTTTAAAATCCCTGAAAAAATTCCTGGACTAAGATATGGATCCAGGGTTAGTTAGACAAGTTAGTCAAGCCATGCACAACAATCCCGACTAACACCCTGAACCAATTAACTGATACTTGTTCATTTTTAGGGGTGCAAATTATTTCAGTAGTGGAGATAGCACCAACATATCATTGCAAAAACACCCACCACCAGTGGATCACTTCAATTGAAAATCCTACTTAATACCTAAATTAAAAATAGCCTCAGTGACTCATATATTATTATGTATCATAATACTGATGCAACAGTGTGTAAGCAGTGTTTTTCTGTTTTAGAAAGTGGATCCAAGTGATCTTATCTTATTAAATGTTTAGATACATTAGATCCTACCCTGCTGTAGAGGTCAGGCCCTGCTGCTGGGGAAGAACATAAATATGAGGGAAAGTAAGATAATTAACTAGAGAGGAAGGAAGGAAGGGATTCTGCAACACAAATATGTATTCAGCTTTAAACATTTTGTTCTGTTATCTAAATAAAACCATCTGAAAAGCTATGAGGGGAAGCCATTTGACTTTGAGCTGACCTTACTCACGATAAAGTGTTTTTCAACAGGTGGGTGGAAATCATGGTTCAGTCATTCGTCATATTTTGAATGCTAGTCACGTGTTTATACTTTCACATGTCTATGGTAACTTGTAAGTAAATGTAATAGAATAAAAAGTACGGTATTTTTCTCTCAAGTCTAAAGTAGGATAAAATGAAAATATGTAAATATTAGTGCCCAAAATAACCACAACTGTTTCATATTTTCTGCAAGACTTCCATTGTTTACAATGACCAGAACTGCATTGGTCCTGGCCAGAACAGCCTGCTGATTATTTCAAGCTGTCACTAGTAGTGTGGTTCTATAAATAGACGTCCATGTCCTGTCAGTGTGTCCATCATCTCCACAGATAATAAAATGCATCAACCACCTGTTTTTATGAGATTTTCATTTTATACATGGGTGATTTAAAAAGCAAAACATCCCGCATAATAGCTGCATAAATATGAGCTTTCAATCTGTTTAACCCCTTTTATTGTTTCGAGCACCCAGTAAACTGTATTTCACGTCGAAGGATTTGTGGTCACTCGGTGTCTGCAGATTGTGAACCGACATGTCTTAAAAGAATGCTTGTGCCATCTAGTGGCCAAATATTGTAACAAGTGTAAGTCCAAACGTGTTTTAATAAACACAACATTGCAAAGTAAATATCATTTGAGCAACAAAAAAAAATGCAAAATTTAAACCAGTCGTATGTCTGGAAAAAGGTAGAAGCTGAATTCACCTCTGAAGCTCATTGACAAGCACGTCGGTTTTACCAGCTCAAAGAAAAAATGTAAAAATGACATGTTGTGATGTTTTGAAGGATTAGAGTCATGTGAGGGGAAAAATAAGTTTTCGCAGGACTCCCTGAAGGGCTAAGCACACCTTTACTGCTACCCCAGGAATTAAGATGATGTGAAGCAGCCAGGTGCTGCTAATCAAATGCAGCAAGTGTGACCACCTCTATAAAAGCTAACGTTTGGGCAGTTTGCTGGTCTGGAGCATTCAGGTGTGTGTTAGCACAATGCCACTATCTTCCCAGCAAGGGATGTCCTAGTAAATTTACCCCAAGGTCAGACGGCAATGCCCAACGACTGCAAAAACCTCAAGAGCTACATCTCAGACCTTACAGGCCTCAGTTAGTATGTTAAATGTTAACGTTCATGACGATAAAAAATTAGAAAACGACTGAACAAGTATGGCCAGTTTGGAAGGCTGCCAGAAGAAAGTCTCTTGTCTCTAAAATGAACATGGCAGCACAGCTTAAGGTTGCCAAGTTGCAATAAATCACAAGACTTCTGAAACAATGTCTTTTGGTCAGACAAGATCATAGTGAAGATGGTTAGCCACAGTGCACAGCGCCACATTTGACGGAAATCACATTTACCACATAAGCACAAACACCTCATTCCAGCTGTCAGCACGGTGGTGGAGGGGTGATTATATGGGTTTGTTTTGAGGCCACAGGACTTAGGAACCTTGCACTCACTGAGTCAACCAGGAATTCCTCTGTACACCAAAATATTCTAGAGCCAAATGCAAAGCCACCTGGCCGACAGTTAAAGTTTGTCCAAAAATGGGTCGTGCAACAGGACAATGATCCCAAGCACAGCAGCAAATCTACAAGAGTAGAAGAAAGAATGAAAGAATCATGGTGTTGCAATGACCCAGTCAAAGTCCAGACTTCAACCTGATTGAAATACTGTGTATTTATGAGCTGTGCATAAATGAATGCCTGCAAACCTCAATGAGCTAAAGCAAGGCAGTAAAGGAGAGTGGGCCACAGCGGTGTGAGAGAGCAATAAAGTCATATAGAAAACAATAACTTCAAGTTATTGCAGCTAAAGGTGGTCATACAAACAACTGAATCATAGAGTGTATTTTGTTTTTCACAGGACTGCATAACCACTTGTGTGTTAATTTGTGCCTTGATTAAAAACAAGATGCAGCATGTTTGTTAGTGATGGAGTGACATGCCAGAAACAGTTCTGGCTTCACTTTTTGTTTATAGTCATGAGAGCGCCTTTCATCTACATCTCTTGCAAAAAAAGATTAAATTAATCTAACAAAGTCTGCAGCTCGTCATCAGTCATAGAGGGCACTCGGTGTTGCAGAAGTCTCCTGACTTGAAGAACTGGTAAATGTTAACCAGCGGGAACATAATGACGGAGCCCACTAGTGAACCCATCTGTGTCGCAGCTCCACACCAGACCAAAGCGTTGTGGCTCCGGTCTCTCAGGATGACACCCACCATGACTTTGACATAAGACAATGTCCCAGTAAAGAAGAGCCATGAGAGCACCTGGTGAGAGTAAAACAAGAACACAGACTCAGCAGCTCATTTGGATGTTAATCATTATTTTAACAGTGTTTGTGACTAAAAAATAGACTCTGATTTCACACTGAGTAATGATGTTGCCTCATCATAAGTTATGAGTGAGCAGAGTTCAACGCTCAGGATGTTTATGAAGGAGGTTTTGTACTTTTGTACAAAGAACATGCTTGCGTTTCACTCACAATTATCGCCTCTCCCACTGCAGACCCATGAAGCAAGGGACAGGGACTCATAGCTGCCATGGCCATGTTATAGCTGCCAAATCCTGTCCCCACCACCGCCAGAAGGCCGAGAAAGACCAGCGACCTGGGCGCAAAAGACGTCTGTTATCAGCAGCAGTTAGTTAATTTCTCCGAATCCCAAGGCAACTTGTCTTTCAAGTGAATAATTCAATGGACCTTGTGCCCAAGCAAATATTTGAGTGACAGTGGGGGAAAAAACTTGTTAATAACAATCAGGTACCTGTAAATACACTAAAGTAGAGTTTGCTTGCTGTATGGTAAACACTTCTTTTCCAAAGAGCTTACAAAAATCATGATGGGGATAAAATCTACACTCCTCTGTAGAAAATGTAAGATTTGGGGAATCCAAATTAGATGAAAAAAGTGTCTTTGTCTTCAATGCTAAGGTGCTGTAGTATCATACCCAGTAAACATGCTTAATCAGCCTTTTGTAACTGTAATCGTCACAACAACCTTTATGCTCTTAGATGTGACTAAAGATTGAGACTACAATAAGGAAAGTGTTTACTGACGTCATAGATTAGAGGAGCAGTAGGTTCATTTTACAATCTGACCTACTTTTTGCAGGTGCTGTGGTAAGCACTGCTGCCTCACAGTGAGACGCTCCTGGGTTTGAGTCTGCCAGCCAGCTTTCTTTCTTTGTGGAGTTTGCATGTTCCCCCCAGCTCTGCGTGGGTACTTCTTCCCATAATCCAAAAACATGTGCGTGCATGTTAGGCTAACTTTTGATTGTAAATTGGGTGTGAATGAGCATGAATGGTCATGGCAAACTGTCCAGGGTGTACCCTGCTTCTACCCCTATGACAACTGGGATAGGCTTTGCTCTTCCCAGGACCCTAAATTAGATGGCCATTCTTCAGTGTCCATTATATACACTCAACAAAAATATAAACGCAACACTTTTGTCTTTGCTCCCATTCCCCATGGGATGGACGTAGAGACCTAAAATTCATTCCAGATACACAATATAACCATCCCTCCCAAACAGTGGTCACAAATCAGTCCAAATATGTGGTAGTGGGCACATCTGCTATATTGAGATAATCCATCCCACCTCACAGGTGTGCCACATCAGGATGCTGATCTGACATCATGAGTAGCGCACAGGTGTACCTCAGACTGCCCACAACAAAAGGCCACCCTGTAATGTGCAGTTCTTTGCGCTATTGGGGGTCTGGGGACCCAGAACCGGTCAGTCTCTGGTGTGACCACCATTTGCCTCATGCAGTGCAACACATCGTCGCATGGAGTCTATCAGATTGTCAATTGTGGCCTGTGGAATGTTGGTCCACTCCACTTCAATGGCTGTGCGAGGTTGTTGGATATTCGTGGGAACTGGTACACGCTGTCGTATACGCCGGTCAAGCACATCCCGAACATGCTCAATGGGTGACATGTCCGGTGAGTATGCTGGCCATGCAAGAACTGGGACATTCTCAGCTGCCATCTGCCCTGAACAATGTGAACCATGATTCATCCGTGAAGCGCACACCTCTCCAACGTGCCAGACGCCATCGGATGTGAGCATTTGCCCACACAAGTCTGTTACGGCGACGAGCTGGAGTCAGGTCAAGACCCCGATGAGGACGACGGGCATGCAGTTGAGCGTCCCTGAGACGGTTTCTGACAGTTTGTGCAGAAATTGTTTGGTTGTGCAAACCAATTGTTCCAGCAGCTGTCTGGGTGGCTGGTCTCAGACGATCTTGGAGGTGAACCTGCTGGATGTGGAGGTCCTGGGCTGGTGTGGTTACACGAGGTCTGCGGTTGTGAGGCCGGTTGGATGTGCTGCCATATTCTCTGAAACGCCTGTGGAGACGGCTTATGGTTGAGAAATGAACATTCAATGCACGGGCGACAGATCTGGTTGACATTCCTGCTGTCAGCATGCCAATTGCACGCTCCCTCATTGCTTGTGGCATCTGTGGCATTTTGCTGTGAGACAAAACTGCACATTCCAGGGTGGCCTTTTGTTGTGGGCAGTCTGAGGTACACCTGTGCACTACTCATGATGTCAGATCAGCATCCTGATGTGGCACACCTGTGAGGTGGGATGGATTATCTCAATATAGCAGATGTGCCCACTACCACACATTTGGACTGATTTGTGACCACTGTTTGGGAGGGATGGTTATATTGTGTATCTGGAATGAATTTTAGGTCTCTACGTCCATCCCATGGGGAATGGGAGCAGTAACAAAGGTGTTGCGTTTATATTTTTGTTCAGTATACTTTCCAGTGTCTATTGCAGATCAAGCTGTGGACCCATAACCTGCAGGCCAGGGGACCAGCGTTTATGAGTTATGAGTTATGTTCAGTAAATGCATCTGTAAACTATTTACCAACATAGCAAATTGATTCACGTGTTTTTGATTTGGTACAGATTTTACCCTGAACAGAGGAAGTCAAAACTGCTTCGGTGTTCATCGGGACACTTCACTTTTCGTTTCATACAGACTTACAATAATAAAACATTATTACCTGTTTTGGATGAACATTGCAAGAGTACAGGCCACTGGGTTGGCCACTGATGCCAGAGCTGCAGAGAGGTGATAGGCCAGGTTCCCGTATGGCATACAGGAGTATGTTTGCACAGAGGGAAGCAGGCCGTTGGTTGCAGAATTAACCCACACCACCAGAAAGTAAATGAAGGTCAGCTGGTACACGGAAGGTTTTGCCACCAGATGTCTGCCCTGGGCAACCGCCTCACCATTGTTTTTTACGCTTCCTCCATCAAGATCAGCCCCTGAGTTATACAGATAGGAGCTGACAGACACTACTGTATCCTGCACAAGGTTCTCAGTGGACAGCTCGTATGTCCGAGGGAGTCTGTTCAGTGCAACAAAAGCAGCCAGGCTTATGCACATCATGGCTGCTAGGATGAAGAAAAACACCTCGGTGGAGAAGTTTGGGGGAAGATACTCCGTATGTAATGATCCTGTGTGGTTTCCTGCAGTCTCAGAAGAGTTGACGCATTTGGCCATACCCACACCCTGAGCTAGAGCAACTACACCAGGAATGAAACCACTTAGCCCCTCTCCAATATAATAAGTGGTAATATATTTTGCTGGAAGCTGCATCATAAAAGGTAAGAAGGTAACTGAAGAAGTGCAGTCCACCAGAGAAAGGAAGAAAGTTATGATAAAGAAGGCTGTGCTACGTGATGCCCCTATAAAAATCGTGGTCCTGTCCCAGAAGAAGGCAAGCAGGATGCAGGACAGGACACCGATGGAGAGGATGGAGTAAATGACAATATACTCTTTAAGACACCCTGGGTACAGTTTGTGCATCAGGGTGACCAGCAGAGGTCCCACGTTAGCAAACTGGATAATTACTGTGAGGTAGGAGGGTAGATCCCAGCCTTCAGGGAGTGCGTTGACAATGAGCGGCAGCTCCACCCACAGTCCGTTCACAGCCACCCAGGAGCCAATGCCAAAGGCGCAGGCCAGAAAGTGGACGAGCAGAGCCATACTGCAGGTGGATCAGTGTGAAAAAGTCTGTGGAAATAAATTAATAAGGATGCATCAGTATGTAAGAAAAGTGCTGTGTAATGCTGTTGTGTCTGGGTGTTCCCAAACTCAGAGTAAATACCAGGGGTCTCAAACTCGCGGCCTGTATATTGATGTGAAGAAATATAATGCAGTTTGGCCCTTGAAGTTACTTTTTTTTGTTAGGAAGGATTTGTTTGTTGTTGAGTGCAATGTTAATAATAAAATTATTTAATATGAAGGCAATATGAGCAGAGAGTACAAACATGTTGAGGGATTGACTGTGCTAGTTCAGTGAGAGTTATTTGTAAACAATTTTCAATAGCAGTCAAAAACTAATGTGTCCACTTATGTCTGCATTTTTATTTTGTTAAACACGAACAAAATTATAGCAGAAGTGCTGCCACGTGTCTGAGCAGAAAGAGAGTACCAATGTGTTTATTTGGTAGTTCAATGAAGGGCTTGAGTTAGTTAAGTATGAGGAAAAAAATCCATTCACATTTGTTGTTCTGTCTTGTTATACAATATTTGACATTTTAAAAAACAAAGAGAAAAAACACTAAATTTTCTGAAATATTTGTGGGTGTTTTCTTGTTTGTTTGTTGTTTGTACTACCGGTACTTTAATAATAATAATAACAATAATAATAATAATAATAATAATAATAATAATAATAATAATAATAATAGTCGGCATTCTTTTAAAACAAAAGAAATTCTTTTGAAACAAATTATAACTACTCCCTTCTGGTTTTATGCCTCTGCCAGCAAGGGAAGTTGAGGTCTAAACTTGACCTTTGACCTTTTACATATAAAATGCCATCACAGTCTAAGAGCTATGGCCAAAAACATGTTTTGTTGAGGTCACAGCGACCTTGATCATTGACCACTAACATCTGATAAGCTCATTCTTAAGTTAAGATAAATGTCATGTGAAGAAATTCATTCAAGTTCTTCGAGATATTGAGTTCATGATAACGGTACCAACAGACAGAGATCTCAAACAGAAACCTGTTCCTTTGTACAGCAACTGCTGGCAATATAAGTAAACTAGAAGCTAAGTAATGTGACAAGCAGTACCTGTGGTCCCGCTGTCTACCACACTGTCAGTCATGCTTTCCTCACCTGTATAGACTTTCATGCCTGAGATGTCTTTTATTGTTGTAGCCAGTAAAGCTGAAGCAACTCATCGTTACTTTGTAGTTAATTTGCTGAAATGGATCGTATTTTATATTTCTGATGCTATATTTTGTTTCTTTATTTCTTCTCATAACATAATAAATGTAGACTCATGTTACAAATGTAAATCAGCATAAAACAGAATTACTTTTATCCCACTGATACCTGCGATACAGTGTAGTGGTAGTTAGTCATTACCCAAAATAAATAACAACCTTTTCAGCATTAAGAAGGGTTCACACCTGCGGTGGCTGGTACAATTTTCACATTACTTTCAGACATTGTCGAGGAATTCAACAAACCATATGTGCCTGCCCATCTCTTCCTCTTCACATTTTCACTCTGTCTTTGTGCATGCGTGTGGCTTTCAAACTGATCTCATGATGAAATAAGTCAGAAGGCAGTCTTGTGATAAACAGAATTTGAAGAAGCTGACACTGAGGTTGCTGACAAACACAGTCTTATACTGTACTTTAAGTGGTGTGGTCAGTTGAGATAATGAGGTTAAAAGAAAAACAGAAATTACAGTGTTTGCACGCACTCAGTACTGAGCTCTCGAGTAAATGCACTTCCTTTTAGATACAAAAATGTACTTACAAGTTGTTTTAATCCTCGGAGGCGCTGAATAGGACTTGCTGTCATCTTACAAAAAGATTACTGACTGGTCTTGCATAAGCACATGCTGGTGGGACTCGTGTGGCTGCTGTGTAGGTCAGAGTCCACTCCTGCACCAATGATCAGCTCCACCAGATAACAGGGGGTAGTGTCTTCCTTTATTAAGGTCAAGTTAGTCTTTAGCACTTTGAGGAGCTCGCACAGACAGCTAAAATAATAAGACAATAAAAAAATAAAAGTAATAATTGTTTTTGACTGTTCAAACGCAGCTACAGGGGGGAGTTTAACATCTGAAAGTTAAAGGGAAGATACCAAAGTGCCAAAAAAGAATCACAATTCAGCCTTCAGCATAATTAAAAAGAGACACATAGTTGTATTTTTTAGATTGAGTGAATTTAAACTTCCAGGATTACCTTTATATCTAGAGTGAATGCAAACAAGCCTCCAAAAACCTGCTTAGAAATTACAAGACATTTTTGTTCGATATATTCATGAGGACGTCTCAAGAAAGAACTCCTAATATCTAATCCGTCTTGTTTTACATGCCAATTTGCCAAAATATAGACAAGCTCAAAAGCAAGGCTCATATTAATTGACAATACCAACCTGTAGCCCAAAGTGAAACACTAGATGAGGTTTATGGGGTCTTATATTTCCAATACCAACTCTACAGAAACATATTTCCCCCCTCAGGGTCACATAACTGTTAAATATCACACTGAACTGATGAAATCGAATTAAGTCAGGTTAGATTAATACTACATTGGCCTCTACTGGTCACAAGTGTCAAATAAATCGGTTTGCCACCGAGCTTTGACAAATCAGTCCTTTGAAAAACACTGGTACCAAATTATTCTGGAAAAGTAGCCACTTCATTGTGTCTATTTGGTATTAAAACATCGTGGTCCTCCTGTAAAACAGAGCCAAAATACCTTGTTCTGGTAAACTGAGCTTAACTCACTAATGCTACAGTCACATTAGGGAAAACTGGACTGGAGTCCTGACTGGAGTCTGCAGCATGACCAAACTTTTTATGACTATATAAAATGAGCGTACACACTCAACCTCCAGGTCACCGGTTTTGTTGTTGAAACTGATTGCACTCAGTTGCTGACAGCAGAAAACATTCAATGCAATCACTCATTTTTCCTATTTACAAAAAGGCTGCTTTCCATTTTCACACTACGTGACTGAGCCGTAACACATCACAGTGTCACTAAATCCAATCTGTATTTATTTAGTGACACTATGGAAATAAGTTAAACTGTTTCAGATACTTTCACATGGATCCAGTTTTCATTATAATCAGTAGGTTTTTAATGTTTACAGTGGAAGGGTGGCAGATTAAAATTTATTGTAACCAACTGAGAATCTGGACACATTTATTCATCTATTTTTAAGACATCAAAACTATTAAATAACACATTTCTTGCTGTCCAAACAAAGCAAGAAATATAAATTAAACTGGTGATATTTTTTAAAATTTTTGATGTTTGCACAATAACTTCAGCTAAATGAAAAGCAATAACAGAAAGTAGTATTGCTAAGGGAAAAACTTGAATCATGTTTGCATTATCTCTGCATTAATTTATTTAAATGTATTAATTTATGGGATTTTTTTTTTTTTGCCCTCAATACTTAAGAGCAAATTTGTGTTTACTCTGTTTTTATTAATCTGCAGCTGTTTTATTTTAAACATGATGATTTTTTGCATGTTTAGTGGTCATCAAATGAGGTTAGAGAGTGAGTATGCAAACATTAGCTGTATACAACTGATCGTGTTGTGCCTGTCAGAGGGTCCAGTTGGATATCTTTACAAAGTGCCAAACTGCAGTAGCTGCTTATTCCTTTTTTAAAAATAAAATGCACTTCTGTTCCTGGTCATGGAGAGATTACAACACAAACAGTAAATGCTGTTTGTGTTGCTTAGCTGCAAGCAGTGCCTGTAGACTCGCTGAAACACATGGTTAAAGTCTTTCTTCAGACATCTCAGGCTGCTCTTCTTGTAAATGTAACACCCACATTTGAAATAAGCGGGCATTCAGAGGGGTGGACAATTTCATATAAAGGCTATCATGCTGGCTTTACTAGCTCAGGCCACTGATGTCACAGAGGTCTGCATGTGGTCCAGGAAATAAAGTGTAGAGCTGAAGATGGCACTACAGATCAGTAGCATCATTCATTTCAAAGTTACATTAATGTCAAGACTAAATTTTATAATAATAAATGACATAATTGTCATGGTTTTTTTAATTATTTATTAAAAGATAATGTTTTTGAAATATCATTACAGTCTCTCTAATAGTAGAGCTTCCTGATGGAGTAACGGGGAAAAGATGCTGGGATTAACAACGCTAGTAGGAGTCATCCCTTGCTGAACAAGGATGAATATTTATAAAATTAAATTTATTCAGTTGAATCAACCAAAAAATATCAATATACTGTGATGCTGATGGACTGTCTTATTTGGTAAACAGTATCTTTTTGGGAAGTGCCGACATTTCAGCTGGATTGATACAATGATGATAATATTAGCAGTAAGAATAATACTATTCATAATAGAGCACTGTGTTAATTTGCTATGTATAAAGCAAAGTAAAAGATGTAACTAGCTTTACATTTTGTAAGAAAATACAGGATAAAAAGGGTTTAAAAATGATAAAATAACATACAAATCAATCAAGAAAATAAGGCTATAAATAAGGCAACAGAGTCTGTGATAGAAAAGATAAAAAGGCATCCTGAGGCTGGTTTTTACAGAAACCTGAAATCAACCACAAACATGGGCAGGACCCTTAAAAGCAGTTAATAAGCATTTGAATTACACACAGGAGGAACTGTGGCCAGGGGCTAAGAGATGACTGATGTGATGACGTGTGCTGGCTCTGTCAAAACTTGTACTGACATACTTATGTTTCACTTCCTGTTAGTGCAAAACAATCAAGTAGGTTGTTTTATAACCGGCTCAGACCTGTTTGGATGCCTGAGAGCACCACCAACACTGACTCATTTGACTTCTCATTACAGAAGAGGATTTCATTAATAATAGCCTAATGATGATGATGTTTCCCTGTGTTTTCCCAGTGTCTCCATGAAACAGCACAAACAGTGTTCCACAACGAGTTCTCATCAAACAAAATTAGGCTTTTAGTTTGCATAGTCTGCCCAGACAAACAGGTGCTTGTTTTTTCTCCTTCTCCTTTCTCACAGCTCATGTGTGTCAGTTCTGCTTTCTGTTTTAATTTTACTCGACACTTAAATCTTTTTAGATCTGCTTTTGCTATTTTCATCCCATCTTTAAAACCACAACAGGTTCTCATGCGTGTGGAGTTTTACAGTTTTTGGTAAGCCTAAAAACAGACTGAAGTATCTGTGACTACAGAAAAGCACTCCTCTAGTATCAGCAGCATTTATTTCTATCAGACTTTTCAAAATAAATGCTTTTCAAAGGGCAGTTTTTTTTAACATCACAGGAATCACAAAACTGTATGATACATGCCCTAGCAGATATTAATAAATATAGAGCTTAGTATTTTGGCATTGCCTGATAGTTTTTAAAACCTATAATACTGACTATATATTCACCAGCCACTTGATTAGGTACACCTTTCTCATTATGGGTTGGACCCCCTTTTGCCTGCATAACTGCCTTAATCCTTCGTGGCACAGATTTATCAAGGTCCTGTAAACAATCATCAGACATTTTGGTCCATATTGACTTGAGAGCGTCACACAGCTGCTGCACATTTGTCAGCTGCGCATCTATGACGCAAATCTCCTGTTCCACTACCTCCCAGAGGTGCTCTATTGGACTGACATCTGGTGACTGTGGAGGCTATTTGAGAACAGTAAACTGAATGTTAGGTTAAAGAAACCAGTTTGGCATCATTGGAGATTTTTGAAATGATGTGTTATCCTGCTAGAAGCAGAAGATGGTCACACTGCAGTTATAAAGGGACGAACGTGCTCAACCGCAGCCTGTGGGGTTTAAATGATGCTCACTTGGTACTAAGGGGCCAAAAGTGGTACAAGAAAATATTCCTGACACTATTACACCAGCAGCCTGAACTGTTGATATAACATCTATGTCCAGTTTAGGGCAGTCTGTGCAAATTGTAGCTTCATTTTATGTTCTTAACTGGCAGGAGTGACACTCGTCTTCAACGTGCGAGTTCAGGGATTTTCTTCTGCACAGCCCAGTTGGTTATTTGAGTTACTGTTTCCTCCTTATCAGCTCAAAGCAGTTTGGCCACTTAAACAAGGTATTTTCTTAAGAGAACTGTAGAAACTGTAGCTCACTGGATATTTTCTTATTTTCAGAACATCCCATTTAATCTGTGGAGATGGTTGTGTGTGAAAATCCCAGTAGTTTCTGAACAGTTTTTTTAATACTCGGATCAGCCCTTCTGACACCAACAAACATTCTGATGTTTTGTGTGAACTTCACCAGGTCACACACATGACCCACATGCTTAAAAGCATTGAGTACTATGTGGTAGATGTATAAAAGGCCAAAAATGTATTTAATATCATACAAAGCTTTTTTTTTTTTGTCCCTTTTTGCCTTTTTCAAGCGTGTTTATTTAGTATTTATTTATTTATTGTCATTGTCAAGAACAATGAAATTGCGTTTGGGGCTTCCATTCAACCCAAAAAAAAAGAAGAAAATATTAAATACCCCTTAAAACCCAAGTGTACATATTTAACCCAGTGTGACTCCAATGCAATAAGACAATCCTTAGCAATAATGTTCGTAGAAATTCAGACAAAGACCTGAGAAACATGACAAAATACAACAATGCAACCCATTCAATATTATTGTACTGTGAGATATGATATCAGATATGATAGTTATTTATTTAAGAAAGAGGGGGGGGCAGGAGGGGGAAGAGAATAAAGATATGATGCACCAATGCAGACCAGTTCATTGCTATTAAGAAGTTGGATATGGTTATTGTCCGTGAGAGGGGGGCAGAGAGCTCAGGAGCCTCACAGCCTGTGGATACAGGCTGTTGGCCAGTCTGGATGTTCTGGCCTGTATAGACCTGTACCTTCTCCCTGAGGGCAGCAGA